GGAAAGAGGCTCCAGCCCTCTTCGTCCCGCATGCCCAGAATAGCAGCAAATGCAGCCACGATGCACCGACGATGAGAGACTAGGCCAGAGGGGTGGGAAAGGTGCTACAGTCACCTCGCTCTCCTCCCCAGACTGGATTTCTATAAGTTTTCCTGCCTTGTGCCCACTTAACACAAGTTCCCATTCTGGAAACTCAGGACTCCTGCAGAGGCTTGGGGGTGAGGCTGCACTTGGCCTTGGAGGCTGACATTTGTTCGCCATCCCAGAGGGGACTTTTGCACCCGGGCAGGCTGTGACTTCCACCTTCGGCTGTGTCCGTTGTTCGAAAGCATCGTGCAGGGCCCCCTGGACGTTGCCGCGTCTAAATTCCCTCCGTGATTCGTAGATGTTCGGGGCAGAAGGGACCTCAATAAATCATCGAGTCCGACCCCCTGCCCTGGGTCAGACTCAATGATGGATCACCCTAGAGCAGTGATTCCCAAGCAGGGTACCTTGGCACCCTGGGGTGTCTTGAGATCCTTTTATGGGTGTCTCAACTGTGTGCAAATACCTCTACGCATGTCACAGGATAAACCCAGAGATTTCCGATAAGAATCCAGCGGGTTGCAACCGTCCCGCCCTGTCGTGGGCTGGCTGAATTGTTTGCAATGGAAGAATTGCTCTAGGAGTTTTTCTGTGGTCCAAAAACGAGTTCTGGCATTTTCCGGGGGGGGGCTCAGCATCGAAGAAGCCTGTGAAACGCCTAGTCTAGAGGGGACGTACCTTCCTGCGTAGTCAGGTTAACATCTTCTCACTCTCTTCCAGGTCTCAAGACTGGTGGCGGTTCCTCCGGCAGCTCAGGGAACACTTTCCACTACACCTTCCACGGGGACCCCCATGCCACCTTCGCCTCCTTCTTCGGCGGCTCCAACCCCTTCGACATCTTCTTCGCCAGCAGTCGTTCGCGGATGTTCAATGGCTTCGAGCAGGAGGACATGGACATCGACGATGACGACGACCCGTTCAGCGCCTTCGGCCGCTTCGGCTTCAACGGGCTCAGCGGCGTCCACCGGCGGCACCCGGAGCCGCTGCACACGCGCCGGAAGGTGCAGGACCCACCCGTCATCCACGAGCTCAAGGTGTCCCTGGAGGAGATCTACCACGGCTCTACCAAGCGGATGAAGATCACGCGGCGGCGGCTGAACCCCGACGGACGCACCATGCGGGCTGAGGACAAAATCCTGAACATTGTCATCAAGCGAGGTTGGAAGGAAGGGACCAAAATCACCTTCCCCAAGGAGGGCGACGCCACGCCAGACAACATCCCCGCCGACATCGTCTTCATCCTCAAGGACAAGCCGCACTCGCACTTCAAGCGGGATGGGACGAACGTGGTCTACACGGCGGCCATCAGCCTCAAAGAGGTGGGTGCGTGGGCAGGGGCTGGGATGGCCGGGCAGAGGAGGGAGGTGTCGGGCAGGGGGAAACGCGAAGAGGAGGGGTGGACAGTCCGAGGCCCCCTCTCCCATCATGCCTCTCCCTTACTCCCCCAGCCCAGCGAGCCCAAACCACTCGGGTGCACTGGAGAGCAGCGCTTGGGTAGACTATATGGCCTGGAGCAGCCCTCCATTTGCGGGGGGCTGAGAGTAGTGCTGGGGCAGGGTCTGGTCCCCAGCTGGGTGCCATGCTGAATTGCCCGTGTCCCGTCACCATGAAGGAGGTTGTGGGCAGAGCCAGGAGGGACGCTGTATGGGCACGGCCGGGTGAACCAGCCCCGACCTCTGGCCCATGGTGTTTAATGACTGGAGAGATCCTGGTTGAGTGTGATGGTTGCAGCCCAGTCCCTGTCTGCTCATTTTGCATGCTGGCGCTCTACGCCAAGGGCTCCGGCTGACGGGCGTGAGGGCTTGGAGGTTCCCAGGCGGGGCTGTGCGTCATGCAGCACCTTCTCCTGGAGCCAGGCACCGTCGTGGTCCAACACAGAGGCATCGGGGCTTGCACCAGGCCAGCTCAGTGTCTGATCTCACTTTGATGGGACTCCGAGCATCAAAGCAGCCAGCGGTGCAGAGGCAGGAGTGGGGAGGGAGAGGCCTGTGAGATGCAGGTGGGATACTGCTGCTGCTGTTGAACTACCTCTTAATGAGCTCCAGCTGGCAGCTGCATTTCTCTTTCCACGGCTGGCGGCTGCAATTTGCCGTCCACCTCCACCGGAGCGGCTGTCCGTCTCCCTAACGAGCAGGGTCTGCAGAGGCAGAGGTAGTTCATTGGTCCTCAAATGCATTTCATCCAAATAAGCTCCCAACGGGTCAGGTTTTGTGGGGCAGAGGCATGAACCCCCTGGAGGGTGCCCCGATGGCAGGGTTCCTTCACGAAGGACTTGCCTTTCCCTGGGAGCTGGAGCCAGGTGAAAGGTGGTATCCCGCGGGGAGTGGCCTTGCCTGGTGGGGGGCAAGCTCCTCCGCAGGCACCGCGTGTCTTCTGTGCAAACCAGAGGCTTATCCGTACGGCGCGTGGCTCTGTCTGACGTCGCCGATCTCTCCGGGGAGGCGCCAGGCTTTGCGCAGCAACGCTGACCTAGCTCGTGCACATCTTATGTGTGTCGGTCACACGGGCCTGCGAGCCCCAGACCCACGTGAGCTGTTCAGGTGCCTCTTCCAGGCTCCTCGTCGCTGGGATCTCTCTGGTCGCTGTCCCAGCTGCCTGCCGTGGCCCTTAAGGCAGGAGGTGGTGGAGGGAGGGCTGCCGATCCAGCCAGGGGCCCCGTGGGCTGCAGGATGCCGCCGGGTTGTGCAGGCGCTCCGCGCTGCAGCCCTCCAAAGCTGAAGGCTTTGCCCTCGCGTGACCTCGTTCCTACGATCCAGGTTCCTGCCTCAACCACGTCACCTCGCCTCATCCAAAAAAAAACGCCGTGCCCGGCGGGGCTCTCCGAACACGGCTCCGCCACGGAGCTGTTGCCATAGCTACTTGCGGGAACACGGCAGCGTGCTTGTGAATGAAAGCCCGTGTTTCAAAGGCATTGGAGCGCCTCGAGCCGTGGCGGCCTGACCTGGCCCAGCGCTGGTCGGTGTTTTCCACCCAGGGGCTGAGCAGGCTGTTTCCAAAAGAGCCACGGTAGCTTCAACACCGGAGGCAAGTTTTCTGGAGCCATGCAAGGAGCCAGCCCCCGCGCTCCCCTCCGCCCCCAGCATCTCCTGCGGGCATAGAGGTGCCGTAGCTGGGTCTCTGTAGCCCTGGGAAAGGTGGCTGGAGCAGCTGGGAGCCCCGCTAATCCCAGCAAGAGCAGGGACTGTGGGGGCCAGACCTTGTCGTGGCTTCTGGGGAAAGCCCCCGTCCTCGCCTGGTAGGCACAGGACTGATTTCGGACCCTGCCCTTGGGGTGGGTGGGGGTGCAAGCACCTTTTTGGGGCTTACACAGCGCACCTCTCCATTTAATATGCCTCGAGGGCCCCGGCACGCTGGCATGGGACGTGGACCTACCAGGCTGGTAGCTGTTGTGGGATAGGAGCTGTGCCCGAGGGAGGCTGCAAAAGCAAAGTCCTCGCCCCTAGTCCCTTCTGCCCTCTGTTGCAGTCTCCTCTGATCTTCCAGGGATAGTCGGGCGTCCCTTACCTCGGGGCACTGCTGGGCCGAGTGACCCAGAGGCTGTGGTCCAGCGCAGCCTTTGCCCCGTGTCCGAGCGGAGAGGCCGCCTGACTGGGGGCAAGGCCGGCAAATGGACACAGCTCCTCTCCTCCCCGATTTCCCTGTGCTCAGATACTGGTTCTCTCTCCCTGCCGCACTGGGCGAGACTGGTGGCAGTGGCGAAGCGGGAGAGGCCGAGCGAAGGGTGCTCCTGTCTTCGCAGCCCAGGGACCGTCGATGGCCCCACGCTGACGCACATCCCCGCGGGGAGCGGGGCGGCCCCGGGAGCAGCTGTCGCGCTGCCAGGAGGGCCGTGGGAGGCGCAGCCAAGAGGGTTTCCCCAGAGAGATGTGGGCTGCAGGAAACTGCCCGCTCTCCAAATCTTGCGAGCGGCTCCGTGGGAGGCGGCGAGAAGCGGTGACGGCGCGGCTCTGGCGCTGTCCCCGGGGACCCGGGTTCGCCGGGGCAGCGCTGCCTGGATGCGGTTCCCCGGGGGGTGGAAAACTCAACCTCCTCCCCCAGCCCCGTGACTTGCACGGCTCCAGCGTCCTCCGCCAGGTGCAGCCCAGAGATCACGGCGCAGGGCCTTGCATTTCCAGGAGCGGAGCAAGGCCCAGCATCCGGCTGAATCGGTCCCTGCGTTGTCGGCTCGGCCACAGAGCCGTGTCCAGCAGGAGATCTCCCTCCTTGGCATGGAGAGCCCCTGGGTGGCGGGCAGCTGAGGCCGGGGAAGCATTGCCTTCCTGATCGGGTAGCTGCATCCTAGCAGGAGGGGCGCATGGGAGGGTCACCTGAGCCGGGCAGCGGAGCTATTTTGGTAGCCGGCATCATGAATTTCTCCTCTGGCTTCATTGGCAAGAAGGGGCTGGGGGGAGGGCAAGGACCTGTGCTAATTGCAGAGCACCCAGGGTTATAAAAGGGATGTTGTTAATGAGCCGGTCTCTTCACTGGTCCCTCTGCCCCCCACCTCCAGTGCAACTGGGTGTATAGGTTTAATGCCCAAATCCCCAGGGCACACAGCACCCAGGGGCACCATGTCTCGGGCGCCCCAGCAGGCTCATCCTCGGCCCGTCACACTCCCAAAAAATCCAGCTTTGCAGCCGAACCCCCTCGAAATCCCTGACGCGGTTCATCGTGCGCGTGGCACCAGAACCCATCCTGGCGCACGGCCTCTCTGGGTGGGGATGAAGAGGATCGGGAAGGTGCTCCGGGTGTTTCACGGGGGTCGTTGGACTTGAAACGGATCTGCAGGCTCCCGAGCAAAACCAGCATCCCGACTCCTCTCTCTCGGCTTCGCTTTGCTGTTGCAGGGGCGCAGTCACCTTGCAGCCGCACGGCACGGGGCTGGCTGCAGGTGCTTGGCGCTGTCCTCGGGTGCCCTTGCTTCACGTGGCTTCCCAACAGGTTGCTTTTTGCAATGGTTTTCTGACCTAGATTACTACCCGGCAGCTCGGTAGCACAGAGAGGTATCCTCTGGCAAAGCCGCGAAGCTTGCTAACTGCTGGCGAAGCCGGAGATGGTGCTTTTCACCCCATCGTGCTGCAGCGAGGGGCACGGCATGCATGTGTAAGGCGCTGTACAGACACGATGAATAGAGGACCTGCCCCCCAGGGAGCTTAACATCTACCTGCTCCTCTCCCTCCGCTTCCTGCCGTCGGCGTTCACCTCGCGTGCCCCTTGTAGCCAAGGCGGGCTCCCGGTTTCTGGCAGGCTGTGGTTTTTTTAATCGGAGCCGGTGTCTTGCAGAAGGGCTGTGGCGGGAGAAATCAGCACAGGCTTCTCCTGCAGATCCGTCTGGAGCGGAGGCGGCCTGGTTTTCCGAGGACGCGGAGCGCCCTCACCCCTTACCAGAGCTAACGAGGGCTCCAGGGATTTTGCAAACCAGGGCAAGGAGGCGTCGAGAAATGAAGGGGCCTTATTGGCAGGAAGGGGGTCCCTGAGCCAGATCTGGCTGAGCTGCTTTTCCCGCAGAGGAGGAGGAGGAGGGTGTCGGGACTGAGCCCCAAGCCGATGCTGCCTGAAAGGCTCCAGCAAGGCCCTGGCACCGCGCAGCTCCTCGCGTTAGCACCGGCACCATGAGATGCTGGAGCCATCTCTCTCCACCACCAGCACCGGAGACCTGCCTGGATGTACCTGCAAGGCCAGGGCACCCTCGCGGTCTCCCCTCCCTGGCTCCGCAGGGCAGGAGCTGGCCCTCCCCGCCCCGCTCCAGCGAAGTCTGCTTTTCCAGAAACCTCGCTCTGCATCGCGGGTGACAGCTGGGAGCCGCGTCTCAGCCCACGTGCGCGGGAGCTGTCGGAGTCATTTAAGGACGTCCGGAGCTGCGTGCCGCATTGCCGGCTCACGTGGAGGCGAGCCCTGCAGCTCCACGTGGGGGGCTAGCACCGCCGTTCGGCCCCTGCCTGGGGGATTATAGCTGCACGCCGGGGGAGAGGAGGGGTGGGCTTCTGGGGGCTTTGCTGGAGAGCCGTTCGCTCCTCCATCACAGCGCCCGTCTGGGAGCGAGGCTGCACGGCCCCCGGGTGCATCGGGGTCCCCATTCCAGCCCAGCAAGTCTCTGGGGACGGGGGGAACAAGCAGCCCCGGTTCCCACGCTTCAGGCATGCAGGGCAGTGGGAGGAAGGGCCCCTGCACCCCAAACCTGGGGCCGGGGGTCACTGCTCCCACCTGCTTTTGCACGATGCAGGCGGGTGCCCTCTTGGGGCATGAGGCTAGTGGGGCTCAGATACGATCCCGGCGGATGGGTTTCGTGCTGCATCCAGCTGCTGACCTGGACCGGCGAGGCCGGGAGGGCTGAGCTCTGCAGCCAAAATCTCCACCCAAACAGCCCTAAATCGCAAGCGAGAACGGCGAGGGCTGGCAGAGGGGCTCTGGGAGCAGGGCCCGTCAGCCGGACAGCTACGGGTCGGCCAGCAAAAATAGCCGGGAGGCAGCGGTGTGGATGTAACCCTACCCCGCGGCCTGGGCCAGGCGTCCTGCCGCGGGCGAGAACCTTCCAGAGCTCCCGCTCCCGTGTTGCACCCCGTGCGGGGCCGGCCGCGGCTTTCGTAAGCTTCTGCGGGCTCGCGGCCATCGGCCCGGGTCCCCACGCTACAGATACGCCGGGTAGCACCACGCCCTGCCAAGGGCAACAGCTGACGAGCAGCAGAAGCACACACCGCAGCCAGGGGCCGGGCAGCGCGGCCGCAAGCTAAATTTAGTCCTCTCTGTTGCCGTTTGCATCTCGCCAGCTCCCGGGCGCTTGGGGAAGGCCAGAGGTCGCTGTGCTGTCTCCGAAGGCGCTGGCGCCTCTACGGCGTGGCCCTGCATCTGCACGTGGTGCGTGCGATGTCCAGGTGCCCTGCGCTTGCTAGGGGTGGGCGTGGGGTCCGGCATCCTCTGCTTCAGGGGGTCTCGGTCTTTGGGCCCTGCATAGCCGTGCAGCGGGGTTGATTGTGGAGCTTTAGGACCAGGTCAGAGAAGGACGCGTCTGGGGGGGGTTTGAATGGGGTCGGGTTTTTCTGTTTATTTTTGCCCCCACCGGAGCACGGGGCTGGACTCGATGAGATCCCCGGAGGACCCGCCGGTTGTGTCTGTCCCAGCCTGCAGCAGCCCTGGGCTGGGGTCGCGTCTCTGTGCGGTTCTCATGCACGCAGGGCCCCGAGTTCTGCTCCACGGCACTGATTGAAACCCACTTCCCATGAGCTCGCTCCTCCATCACCTTCCCCACTGCTCTCTGCCCCATGGCTAGAGATGCTCTAGGTACTGGCCAGCTCGGCCGTGCTTCCTGATGCCGTGCATTGACTAGCGCTCTTGCATCCCGCCTTACCGACGGAAGTGCTAGGTGCTGCAGCTCGCACCCTGTAGAGATATGCATGCTACCGAGCTGGAGGCATGCCCCTGGCATGTTCAGATGCACACGGGGGCTGCACAGCTCCCTGCCACGCCTGCATGGGGCTGTAAAGAAAGAAACCTGCCCTGGTCCTGATGGGCCGGTGAGGGAGGAGAGCAGGTCCCCAACCCCTGCGCCCACCCAGGCATCCTTGCTTGCTGTGGGCCAGGTCTGCAAGCCCCCGCAGTGTTGTAGAGAGGAGACAAGCTTTGCAGCTGGGGGGAGGAGGAGGAGCGATGGGGTCTGGGACCCGCAGCCGCGCTCACCGCTGTGTCCTTGTTCCTTCCAGGCGCTGTGCGGCTGCACGGTGAACATCCCCACGCTGGACGGGAGGGTCATCCCGCTGCCCTGCAACGACATCATCAAGCCCGGCACGGTGAAGAGACTGCGAGGGGAAGGGCTGCCCTTCCCCAAAGCCCCCACCCAGCGGGGAGACTTGATCGTGGAGTTCAAAATCCGCTTCCCGGATAGGATAGCGCCGCAGACGAGACAGATCCTCAAACAGCACCTCCCGTGCTCCTAGAGACGCGGGGCGCCGGGACCCGGCAGCAATACGTCTCGCCCGTGCCGCGGCCTCCGCGGAGCACAGGTGCCCGAGCGCACTTGCACATGCAAAAAAAAACCCCTTTCCTGTCCCAGGTCCTGCCCCCTTCGCCTGCCCTCTGTCGTCTGCACCGGCCGCGCGGGGCGCGGGGGCCCGGGCTCCTGGCCGTCTCTTGCCGGTTCTCTTGGCTGCGATTGTTTCTCTAGGGGTCTAGCTTCGCCGCCGCGCCCAGGGAGGTTCCTCACACCGTGGTTTTGATCTCGCACGCTTCGACGTCACTGCACTAGTGCGGGCGGCTTCATGCACTGTAAATAGGACCTTGTGTCTCTGCTGCCAAGCTCGCCGCAGCTGGGTCCCCGCCGGGACCAAGAGACCGGAGGAGTCCCGCAGGCGCGTGGGGCGGAGATGCTGCATCCACGCACCCTAGCTGCTGTCTGGTGTGGACCCGCGGCATCCGTTGTTCGCTGCGGTCCTTTCTGCCGTGCTGAGATCACCGGGGGGTGGACTGTGCCCTATGAAAACGCAACACTTCCAAGTGGTCGGTCGCGGCCGCCGTCCCCCCTGCACCCTTCTCGCCGCCTTCGCGGCTCAGCATCCACTTTGGAGCGCGTTAGACCGGCATCCCAGGCTGCGGGGTGCCGAGGTGCATGCATGAAGGGAACAGAAGGGGTAGCGTGGCGGTCTGTGGGGGCGAGCTGTGGTGGCGAGGCATGTTGAGTTTGCATTGCTGCTTTTCTGTATAGACTCGCAGAGGGTTTACTCTGCCCGCTGTGGCTTTCCTCGAGTGGTTTGTTCCTGACTCTTGCAGGGATCAATTCAGCCATAGGGACGTCGTGTCTGCTGGAGCATGAGCTGCGTGGAGTACGAGGGTGGGTGTGAAAGCAGAGCCGTGGGGTCTGCTGGCATGGAAGGGGTGGAGTAGCCAGAGGGGTGTGCATGTGTGTGCCCTTTCTACAGAAGGGGCAAGTCGAGGCTGTCTTTCTGGGATGTGGGGAGCAGCGCCAGGCAAGCTGCCCGAGCAGGTTGGGTTTTAAATGCCATATTTTTTTAAACTTTGGATTCCCGCCGGGAGAGTTTTTATATTCCTCCCCTTCCCGGCATCTCCTTCGCACAACAACCCCGCTTGGGCACGGTGTGGAAGCTGATCTTCCGAAGAGGCAGGGCGAAGACATTGCCAAAATCGTGCCCCCTTGGTCTGCAGCGAGGGGCTCCTTCGCGACCCTGCCGGGCTGGCGCTGAGTTCGCTTCCTGGCTAAACGGCTCCAGGCGCCCGCGTGCGTCTCAGGGAGGGTCGGGGCAGCGCGGCGTGCGGTGTACAGATATAGATGTACAATTATCGTGTGTACAGAAGCCTGCGGTCACCCCGTGGAGAAGCGATGATCTCAGGAGCACAAAGGCGCAGGTGAGGGGCGCGGGGTCGAGCGGCTGTGTCTTTCTTGGGTTCGTTGAGACCTTGAATGTTTTATAGTGGGGTTTTTTTGTATTTCTTTCCTTTTATTTTATTTTATTTTTTTTTGTAATGTCAGTATTGAGAAATAAAGTATTTTAAAAAAAAAATAGCCCGTCTGGGTCTCCCTCGTGCTGGAGCGAGGCCCAGCCAGGGTCTGGGCGCCATCCCCTGCCTCGGGGACAACGCGGCCGCAACGGCGAGCTCTGATGGAGAAGTGAGGCTGGAAGGGGCCCGCGGAGTCGCATCTAGCAGGAAGGACCAGCCCTGTCCACACCAGCTCAGACGCATCCATCGTCTAAACTACGTAAAACTACCCCCAACCTGGACTTGACGCAGACCTCGCACCCAAACCTGCCCCAGGGAAAGCAGGGGGACCGCGGCTGCCCGTGTCCTGCTTCCGTAAAATGTCAGTCTCGGCTCAGGAGGTCTCTGTGCGTTGTGCCCCTTGCACCCTGCCCCTGCGCTGCCGTCTTTGGCAAGGACCGGCGTCTGCTTGTGCAAACTGACCGTTGCTCCTTGCTCTGTCATCTGAGAACAGCCCAGAGGTGACGGCTGCTATTCAATCCCCATCCATCTTCTCTTCTCCAGACTCAATAAACCCATTTCCCACAGCCACTCCGAAGAGCTGGGGCGCAGGACTGGGCGGGGAGAGGAAATCTCCAGGTTAATCGTGGGGAGCGTGTCTGTACACCTCGCAGCACTAATGCTGCGGCACCCTTGGAAGGCTCTCAAGGGCTCCTCGGTTGAGAATTGCCATGCTAGCTACTTGCCCGCACCCTGTGACCGCCAGGGTCGGTGCCCGTTGGAGCCCCTTGGCTCCAGCCCTTCCTGTGGGGCAAAGATGCCTTAACCAGTGCCCGGGGCAGGCACGTAGCACCAGCCCGGACAGTCCGCGTGGTGGGTGGATGCCAGCCATGTGCCAAATGGGATGGGGCCGGAGCATGCACAGGGCATGGAGCTACCTGGAGCTGTCACGAGACCCTTCTCCGGCCAGGGGAGAGGCCGTGATCTCTGTGCACAGCAAACAGGCCCTGGCGCCAGAGATGGGGAGCGCCGAGCTCTGCTTGCAGAGAGCTGAGCACACCGCTGTATGCCTGCTTAAAGGCGGGGGGTGGTTTGCTCACAGCCAGGAGGTGCTGGGAAGAGACCCAGGAGCCCAGGCTCCTTGCTGTCCTCCACGCTGAGCCCGTGCACGGGCTGCTCTGCTGGGACATGCACAGCTGATGCGGACCAGGATGTCACCGGGGTGGTGCTGGGGGCAGGCAGCTCTCCCTGTGCCCCCAGAAACCTGGCCTGGGGACCCGGGGCTGGACGCTGCACCAGGGGGGCCCTGCTCCTATGCACTCAGAGCCCAGCCGTGCAGGGAGCAGGCGAGTCGGGGATGAAGCTGGCTTAGGGCGTGGATGGGGGTGAGCACCTGCTGCCTGGCTCTGCTCCACGGCCGTGTCTCCTGGCCCCTGGCCCCCGCCCCGCTCCACCTGGGTAGGAGGGGGAGGCTCTTCCGCACCCAGTCTGGGTCTGGGCTGGCTGGCAGGGACCGTGCCCTGCTGGAGAGAGCCCTGGGCAGGGGTCTTCTGGCCCGGACAGGGCAGGAGTCCAGCAATCGGGCTGCTGAGAACCAGACCGAGCCTGGGAGGGGGGGTCAGCTCTGGCCAGGCCCCAGGTTGGGGGCTGAGATGTCCCCTGTGACGCTGCTGCTGCCCCAGGGCTCCACACCCAGATGTGCAGCTCCATCCCCACAGCTGGCACATGGCTCACGCCTGCCTGCAGGGCTCTGGCAGCCAGTACGTGGAGGAGGGGAGGGGGGCATTTGCCCTGATCACAGACGCTGTGCCAGCTAGCACACGTAGGCACACGTGCACTTACATCCAGTGTCTGGACAGGGGTGACATGGGCCAGGCCTGTCCACGGGCCCAGCACCCAGCCACGCCGAGGAGGTGTGCCCGAGCTGACTGCCCAGACGCACGTGCACATCCACAAGTACTCGGTGTGGCCAACTCACATTTTTTGGCATTGTTCTTAAAAGCTACGCTTCGGGAATGTGAAAGACGTAGCTCTTTCTTTTATACACGCGCACACACACACACACACACACGTGCATGCATACATGCATGCACATACACACACACAGGCACACGCATGGAAATATGCACATGCACACACATGCATGCACGCCCACACACTCGGTGCCCCCCACCCACCAGGGCTGCAGACAGGCAGGGACTCCCCCCTCCCCACCCCCTGGCTGTGCCCAGTGTCTGTGCCCTTCAGCCCCCCATCCACTGGCCCCACTTTTCCCCTGGGGCTCCACTGCCCCCTGGTGGGCACTGGAGGGAGCGTCTCCACTGGAGCCCCCCTCTCCACTGCATCTCCCCAGGCTGCAGTGTGCCCCTCCATCCTCCGCCCCCTCTTCGAACACAGCCCCGAGGGCCAAGGGCTGCAGGCAGGGAGGAGGGCCCCAGCCCAGGCCTGCACCTGAAGCCCCGGGGGCTGCCCAGAGCTGGCCCAGACCCAGCACTGCCTGAGTGTGCCCAGAGCCTGCGCCAGTTGCTGGCAGGAGTGTGCCCCGTGCCTTGCCCCGGGTGCTGACTCCCAGCCTCATTGCTCAGCAGGCAGTGGGCAGGGGCAGGGGCTCCCCAGCCCCCTCCGCAGGCACCGCTGAGGTCCTGGGGGCGGCACTGGACGTCTCTGCTGCTCCTGGCACGCCCAGATCCCTGCGCCCTTCCAGGGAGACGCAACAGGTGTGCGTGCGCGGGCAGGGGAGCAGGCTGCATTGCAGTCCCCCCCTCGCTCCCCCTGCAGCAGGGGCACAGACAGAGACACCGGCTCTCCACACCTGGGTGGGTGGGGGTGGGGCTCTGGGGGCGTGGCTACAGCAGTGGGCAGGGCTTAGTGGGACCAGAGCTCTATAAAGAGCCCTGGGGCAGGGGGGCCAGAGGCTGCTGTGGTCCTGAGCTGGTGCTGGGTGGAGGTAAGAGGGGCTGGGGGCTCTGGAGGGCTGGGCAGAGGGGAGCGGGAGCCCGTGCAGCCCACGCATGAGGCTAGGGAGCAGGGTCCTGGCCAGGACCCCTGTCTACACTAGGGCAGGATCCTGGGGCTGGGGCCTGCCTCCATGCACATGAGGAAGGGCTCAGCCCTGGTGTCCTTGCAGGTGCCCCCGCCTCCTGGGCAGGAGCTCTGCAGGCCGCTGTGAGCCTGGGGACAGAGGGTGCAAGAGGGGGTGGGTAAAACATCCCCTTCTCCCCCGCATGGCTCCCCCTGCCCAGCCTGGCTGTGACCCGGGCCTGGAGGTGCCTCCTTCTCCCCTCCTGGGATGTGGATGCAGGCCCTGGGTGGGCTGATGTTGGGCCCGTGTCCCAGGTGGGCTCCTGGCTGAGTTGCAGGGCCCCGGGCTAGCCCTAGCCAGTTCAGAGCCAGCGAGGGGGTGGTCTGAGCCTGGGAACACCCCTGCCCCGCTTGCCAGGGTCCTGTGCCCCCATCTCCAGGTGCTGACACTGCATCTCGTGCTCTCCCCCTTGCAGATGCCCTTTTTCCAAGGCTGGGCAGTCGCTGGGATGCGCGGCAGCACCGCGGGCTCTCCGCCGCCGCAGGCGCTGGACTCCCTCGCCCCTGGCAGGCCCCTGCAGGATGCTGGCATGCACGGAGGTGCGTGGACCGGTTCCCAACCTGAGCGAGGGGGAGATGAGGGAGCTTCTAGCACAGGCGATTTGCAGGGGCCTGGGTCACAGCTGCAGCTCCAGGTGCTGGGGGAGATAGAGGAGCCCTGACCCCTTCCCTTTCTCTTACCCAGGCAGCTCAAGGAAGCTGCCTCCCATTCACGACCTCCAGCTTCCCCACTCCCAGGGTGATGCCCTAAGCCAGTCTGGGGCCATCTCCGGCTGGGGTGGAGCAGAGGGGCTAGCTGCACCGAGCCCTGCAGAAAGCCCAGAGCAGGGGCACCCCTGCCAGGTGCTGCTGTGGGGAGGCACGGGAGCCTTCCTGGCCTCCGGGCTGCCGTCGCTGTCGGTACTGGGGCTGCTCAAGTCTGCGCACCTGGAAGCAGCCTCCCGGCGTCCGGGCGTGCCACAGAAAACGGCTCAAATCCGTGTCCGGCGGCAGAGCTCGGAGAGGCATGCTGCCACCTGGGCAGTGCCTCAGATGCCTGGTTTGGCCACGAGCCTGAAGCATGCGTGTCTAGGACCACGCAGCACGTGAGCCAGGCTCCCCGAGCTGTGAAGATCAAATCTCGCAGCCTGAAGGGCCCTAGTCTCCGAGCTTCCGAGACCCCATGTGCTGGAGGCTGCAAGGGAGAGGGGAGCAGGGGAAAACCCTGCTCAGACCCAGCTCGCTCCCCCTTCCAGCCTCTGCTGGAGACTGGGCACGATGGACCTGGGTCTGAACCAGGACAGGGCAGCACTTAAGTCTCATGCTGAATTTTCTCTGTTGATGCCCAGGTGCAGGTCCTTGCCTGGGCATCAACAACTGGCTCGTCTGCTCCTGCCGCTTTCTTCTCGAGCTGGATTCTTGGCTTGCTGGTTACTTCCCATCCAGGGGTGGCTGCTGCTGCTGCTGGTCCCTCTGGAGCAGCCTCTGCTCCTGAGCGTGTCTGGGTTTCACCTTCCCATTTGGGTCATTCGGGTTGGTGAGGCCAACTCTTCCTGAGCTCCTTCTCGGACCCTTAGTTCAACAGGAAAAGCTGCTCTATATTTTCCTTGTGCTCGGAGAACACGGGAAAGCTAAGAGCTGGCACTTCAAGTCTAACAAGGGGCACCTGGAGTCCGCAGAGGCTGAGAACCAGGGGCTTAGTCTCTCCAGAAGTGCCGCAGATGCTGTCCCAACCGTGCCTGGACCCTCGCCTTAGACTGGGAGGTGGGAGCAGGGCACGGCTTGTTGCCTGGCCAGAGCACCCTGAGTTAGGCTGGGCCATGGTGGGCCCACGTCCCTGCCTGCCCCTGTCCCTACCTTCTCTCTGCCCCTGCAGCGTGGCTGGAGGCGCAGGCAAGAGGGGAGGGTGCTGTGCTGCCTGCCTGGGGGACGTCTCCGCCGCGCTGGCAGGTCCATGCCCCGCTGGACTGGGACCTCATCTGCCGGGCTGGGCAGGACCCCATCACCCAGCTCCCATCTGGCCCGGGGCAGCCCAGGTCCCCGTGGCACCCCGAGATCGGTGCCAGGTCCCAGCCGGAGGAGGATTCGGGCTGTGAGGAAGCAGAGGCCCAGGAGCTGCTCCTAACAGGTGCTGTGTGTTTGAACCCCAATGAGAGTGGTGCCCAGCTGGCTCTGGGGGAGGTGGAGAGGGGATGGAGGGCATCCCTTCCCCATGGGCTGCCTGCTCCTGGCACCCACCCCCTTGGCGGCAGGGATGGGCAAGCTGCCGTGGTGCAGCCCTAAACCATGAGCTGCACCACGGTGACCGGCGTCGAGCCCGTTGCAACCACCCAGGCGCTGCTCCTGCTGCCTGGGAAGGGTCCGGTCCAGCAAAGCGGGGCTGGGCTGCGTCCTGACACCTCTCCCTTCCTCTCCCTGCAGGCCTGGACGACGACCGGGGGAGCCGGGGCAACAGCATCCCGCTGCCTGGCACGGATGCCACCCCCTTCCTCCCGGCCTCCCCCCATGGCACGGACACCGCGTTTGGCTCGAAGAGAACGAACCCGGGCGGCTGCTCCCCGCAGCCCAGGAAGAAGCAGCGGGGGGAAGCTCTGCCTGGCGCTGCCCAGCTGCTGTGGCTACCTGGTGGGGGTGCCCTGCTG